CTCGGTGCTTTGGAATAGGCCAAAGTGAGAAAAGCCGGACAAAAAGTGTGCCTCTAAAACTTACTGAACAGGTTCATCCACTGATGTCTGTCCTCCCCAAAGGAAAACGGACGATCCTTCATCCGAAGCACGAGAACTTCTCCGACACACCACAGAAACTGCCTATAACACTACACTCTTGACAAAAAATCCTCACAAATATGTGTTAACACAAACGCTACATAGGTAACTGTTACAAATTACCGTATATCTCCGTAGCAAACAGCTCAACCAACGTGCTTTCACCACCGATAGGCATTTCAACGGTCACTGAACTAATACGTAAACCAATGTATTCGGGATGAACATGACGCTGATGATATGGCAATCGAGATCCGCTTGGGTTGCGCAAGTCAGCTATCGGTATTCTAAAGACCGTAAGAATACCAGATTACAAGTTTCAAATCAAAAATAGTGACCATAAGGTCGAACGAGAATTACTTTACCTCAAATTCAGATCTATAGCTTGGCACTTCAAAACTACCATTCAATTTGCTAGGCTGTTCAACAACAAGTGGTATACCGAACAGGTCGTCACGCAATTGAAGTGCATCTTTCCTTCAAAAAAAACTGGGCTTTATGGAGGCGACAGAAAGTCTGCGCAACATGAGGAATACGACTTTTTAAAGACAGCCCCGCGCTCAAGTAGTACATGGTCGTCCTTCCTTGTGCAAGTAGTACAGCCCCCAAGCTAGAGACTGTCCCACTCTCGCAACTCCACAGCGAGCGATTAGCGAGCTACAGCCGCTGAAAGTTCTAGTTCTAACGCCCGCTCAGTTGGACCGCCCACTTGCTAGATGCCCTCTGACGGAGGGCCGCTCAGTTGTTCTTTGTTGGGGCGGCGGGCATTAATCGGAATCGCATGCCCTTTTGCTGACCGCGCTCGTGCCCATGAATGATTCTGCTCTCCTTTCATTACATTTTATTCATTAGGGGCATATACATTCAACTCAACCCATTTAAGGTGAAACGCGTAAAAATCACGAGTGACGCAATTTTCGTGGTGCAAAAGCTCGACGCACTTCACTACACTAAAATGTGCGCTACCGTAACCCCAAATTCGGACACCGAGTTTTAAAATTTCTTTTTCCTTCCAAGAGTTTTTCCTCTGCGTTTTTGTTGTTTTTTGTATTCTTTTTTGCACTGGATGATATCAACTACTGCGAGATGTGATAGAGAGATTTGTGAGCTAGGGGTTGCACAGAGACCGCAGGGAGGTGTGACTGTGAGGGAGCGATTTTGTTTATGTTGTTCTTGAGGACTCTTCTTGCCTGTTTTCTTCTTTGGGGGATTACTTATCAGCTACTGTTTCATAATTGAAAAGCAACTATCCATGACACTTTTATCGCGGGAGCTGTCTTTAAGTCAAAATTACAATGTAACTACGGCGCTAGGTGCTTTGGAAATGACCGTTTCCCAGAGGACGCAGTAAAAACGACGTGTTCTGATGAATGTGAACACGTCACGCCGTCTTGGTGAGAGGATGCAGACGAGCCAACGTGACGTGTCTAAGCACCAATGGGCAGCGGCCTCTCGCGAGGCACATAGCGCCCTGCGAGTTATTAAAAATAGTAGTCTTGAAGCAGCACTCACCTTACAATACTATCCAACCTTGAGCGCTTATACGATGGCAAGTCATAAAATGGTCGTGCCTCAAAAAGATCCGCGATTCTATCCACTATACTCAAATCCAACTCACATCGGCACTTTCCCAGGTAGACGTAGGCCTTGGACTGTAACTGAAGTTATAACAAAAATTAATAAAAGAATTCTCGCTAAGGGTGTGGAGCATTACTTTCTGCGCGAGTGCGGCAAAGTAGGCGTTGCA